CTTGGATGACACTGGTTTTTCCATCAAACTTGATAAATGGTTCAAAAGGCGAGGCATTGACACATTCACCCTCACCAGTTTTCCTACTACCGGGACAAGCAAAAAGTTATCAGACCATGGATTATGCTGATTCGCTGACAGCAAAATGACCCAAGAGATATGCCTAAATCCTGCAAGCATGTCAGAGAGTTGCCCGAGGATTGTAAAGTGAAGCAGGAGATTATACTTAAGGAGACGGGTCTAAAGGATGAGGGTCTGCCTTGGAAGACTATCATTGATCTGTTCGAACACCAACACTGAAATGTAAAGCATGTCAGGATGATTGTAATGGATATATAACTTGATTGTCCTTCTGCTAAATGCATGATACATTTCTGAAGGCCTTAGTAAGTGAGACTCGTTTCTAACTGAGGTCAAATGGAGAGTACTTAAAGTAAACTTGAAAACTTGAAAGATGAATTAGGAAATTAAAGTGTCCGTTTTAAGCCATTACGTTTGTGGCGCCTACACTGTGGGGATCGACTTATAATAGCTAGACTTGCAGTGTGATCTTACAGTGATTTATTTGTAAAAATATACCAATTATATCTAAGGAAAATATGAAGCAAAATTTTAAAATATAATCCCTAATATCATTTGCCTGTCCTCACAGCTTTGAGTCTGGAATTTTTAGTAAAATCATTATACTACTGTCCCATATATTCTAAATTGCATTATTATTGATCCTAAGCATTTATTATGAAACATTTCAAACTCATATCTTCCTTATATTCAACCCTTATCCACAGCATCTTTTTGAAATTATTTCTAATTATCTTCCGGACTGTTTTCATCCTTGAACTGCAGCTTTGATTCACAATCAAAGCTGCAGTCCAATGATGAACATGTCATGTGTGACATAATTCCTTGTGTGACAATTTTCCTGAAAATTGATTGAATCCTGCCAGCTGAGTTGTTCCATACCTTATCTAAATGTTTGTTGTCATTACATCATTATCATGGTGCCCAGTGGAAAGTTGCAATCTGGAAATATGGAAAAAGCTTGAAATAGAAGTAAACATGTAAATATATAGACAAATAACAACATATCATGGATATCAGTGATCAAGAGCCCATTCAGTTGTGTTGCCAGTAAATTGCCAATGTTTAGTCGGAGCTCAAGTCGCGGACATTGATTGGACTCAGGAGATTATCGGTGTCAAGACCTCCTGAGGTATAGCTGAGATATCAATGGACCCTAGTAATACACATGACCTGTTATGCCTCCTGTAACAACCAAGAGTTTGTTACTCTGGCGCACAACTCAGACAAGCTATAATGATGATGATGAGGGAGTGGTTACCCTTTAGGCTTCAACAAGTTAGTTGTGAGGATACAACAGGAGGACTCGCTGAGGAGTCTCCTTGATCTATTAGGGTATATATACTACTACAGGTTTGTTTGTACCTATGTACTGTACAGTTGATAAAAGCAGTAGTTGATGATGTCAGAGGGTGCAGCCCGTGTGACCAGCTCCACTGTGTGAGAGACTTGTAGCTAAAATAAGAATAAAGGCAGCATAGCGTGAGAAAGTGGAGTTTGAACAAAAGGGGAAGTGCCACATGGCATGGAGTGTGAAAACTACAGAAAAAGGTTAAAGAGGAGAATGAAAATTAAAGGTCCAAAAATGTGTTATTGTAACACTACCCCCCCTCTAAGGCTCGACTTCCAGGCAAGACCAAATACCGGAGGTAGTAGTCAAATTTTTGGGCATAGGTTGAAAAAGGGAATTAAAAAGTTTTGAATCCATGCCTCTAAGCTTCCTAGGAGCCGAGGGATTTTTAGAATAAAATTTGCGAACAGCATTGCGGGAATTGTCCAGATGGGCTTCTGGTTCCCATGTTCTGTTTTTGTCTCCATAGCCCTTTCATAGGACTAGGAATTCTAATTTTCCACGCTTCAAGCGTGTATCCACCACCCGTTCAACTTTGAACTCTTCTTCACCTTTTTGGGTGACTACAACTGGTCCCGGCCGGTCTACGCTGTCGATGATGAGAACTGTTGTTAGAAAACCACACACAAAAACAAACTAACACACAATCCTCCCAGATTCCACGGAACTTGTTTATGGGCTTTGCCTCCTAGAACAGTGGAGTGGTCTGGTTGTTTGTGGGGTGGTATGTATAAAGATCCTTCAAAGTAAAACCCAGAGGTGTATGAGTGTGGGTTTTGAGGAGGAGGGATAGTTGAATTTATAGAAAGATAGGTGCTTTCTGGCGAGTATAGACAAGCACTACCTTGCTAATCGTAGCACAAGGTAGGTTTGAGAACAACGAGGATGATGAGGTGACGAGGTTCCCAGTGATAGCAGGCTCCTGACGCACAAACTGTAGTGCTCAGAAGGACTCTAATCGAAGGGGATGACAATCACTTTCAAAAAGTGACGAGTGACGATGACAGCAGTTAACAGTGGTAGAAGTGGGAAGTGTTGTGACCACACTGGATCACAAGTAGCAGAGTAGTGAACTTGAGAGTAGAGAAGAAGTCTGGATTGGAGTTCTTGTTCTTTTTCAAGGTAAAATACAGGGGTTTATATAGTGAAAGAAAAGTAGGCTATGCACAGTATAGCTGTGCAAAAAGAATGAGAAAGAACATGAAGGAAGGAATGTATGCTGACGAATCCTGCGTAGGTAGTACAGGATAAGATTGTCAAAAAAGGAAAAGAAAGAGATAGAACAATGAATGCTGTGAGTAATGTCACAGGTTTGTACAGCCATAAAGTAAAGTCCAATAGCAAAAAGAGAGCAGGAAAATCATGATGTCATGGGAAGATGCAGTAAAAAAAAGGGCAAGGCAAAACACTATCAGTATCAACACAGTTCCTTTATTGTCAGTCAGGCATTCTAAAAAATATGTGTCCATAAAAATGATTCCAAAATCAAAAAATAATCGCACTGTAAATGAATGTTCTGCTGAAGAAAAAGAAACTGGAGCCACCGGTCCACCACCTAGTCCAAATCCGACAGTTCCATGGGCCTTACCAATGGACTGGTTGTGTTGGACCACCTGATCAAACGAGGGAGGGAGAGGAGTAGTTCCAATTTGGAACAAGTGAGTCCCAGGCAGCATGTGGTAGGTGTAGCTGTAGCGAAGACGATGGACAAAAGATAAGTGTACCCAAGTGAATGGGACAGCAATGAACATGGGCGATGCAAGGGGATGAACCTTCTCCAGCTCAAAAACTACCCACCCACGCTCCAACCAGGCAAGACGAGCAACCAATGTTTTGATAGTATATGATGGCAGATCGACATCATGAAGATGAACCTACCTGTTGCCCTATTTGGACCGGCCGCCGGGGCTTTGCTGATATCAGCAGTGGCACGTGGTAGTCAACGGATTGGCGACGGAAGCGGATAGGAAGTGGTGACATTAGAAATGGTGGGGGTGCAAATAAGATGAGGAGGAGGAGGGTGGAGGTGATGAAAAAGTGGATTAGAATGGGGATCCAGAAACAACCGTCAGGTGAGAATAAAAAGGAGAGGAAGGGGCCCATGGTGGGGCTAAGCAAAGGAAGGGGAGTAAGGGAAACGACAAAAGCGAGGGCGCAATGCAATGTGTAGCCAGTGGCAACGCAAAAATTTGCCGAAATGCCGAAACGCAGAAAGTACCGGATGGAAAAGCAAAGGTGAGCGTGACTGGATTGCCTAATAGAGGTGGTGCTGATCAGCCACAACTTCAAAAAGGGCAATATTAATTACTATTCCACGTGGCACTGTGCCTGTGTGGCGCAAAGGCGAGTCTTTTTGAATATTCGCTTCGTTATTGACACCTGTCCATGCTACCAATCAACTTTGGTGCATGACAACGCTTTTTACCATCCTTTTTAGGAATGAAGAACACCGGAGATGTCATAGGGCTTTTAGAAGGTCTGATGTAACCCTTCCTAAGCTGTTCGTCTATAAAACTTGATACTTCTTCTCTTTCTGGAGCAGAGAGTGGTATCATGTGTCCTTTTCTCGGTTTGAAGGTGTCCTTCAAATCTATAGCATGGTCCCAAGGCTTAGTTTCTGGGAAGCACTCTGATTTATGTTTAGAAAAGACTTTCCAGAAGTCATGGTACTTGGGAGGTACCAGCCTCTTAATCTCTTCCTTGGGTTTTACCTCATCATTGTCATTGTCAATCTTTTCTAAAGATCTGAGCGCATAAATATGACCAGCGTTTATCTTTTCAAGATGCTCATTGTGACGGACGTGATTTGGTGTACCCAAGTTCACACACTCCTGAGGGCAATGTGACAATGTGACAACTCCTGTCTGCCAGTCAATCTCAGGATTGTGTTTAAATAGCCAGGTCCAGCCCAAGATTAAATTAATCTTCCCTAGTTGGGTAGCTTTGGCGGTGACTCGTTCTCTGTGTCCTTGGTATTTGACAACAAAAGAACATTTGTGCGTGATGCAGCCACCCGCATTAAGCATACCGTCAATGTTATAGACGGGAATAGATACATCTAATTTTACAAGGGGGAGTCCAATTTGCTCCGCCCAGGCCTGATCTATGAAGATTCCGTTAGCGCCTGAATCAAGCAGTGCGCTGGTTGGGTGTGCTATGCCCCGGGCAAGGTTTTCCACACCAACATCTAAACAGATCTTCTTTTGGAATCAATACGTGCACATCAACACACACCTTGGGATTTCGGGAAAGGGTGGCTCCAACGAAGAAGAAGAGGTTTTGAAAGCTATATGTTTTTCTATTTCATTTTTACCAGAATCAAGCACCCTATTGTTTATCTCGCCGGGGCCACGCTCCAAGGGAGACGCTGGTGCAGCAGTAGTATCATAAATATTACAGTCACAATGCTTCATACAGGTACAGGTTTCAGATAACAAATTTAGAAATTTATTTACAAATTGGGGAGCCATCCCTGTCTTTCCTTTATTGCTCGTGCAACACCCCGGAGCAGGGGCCACTTTGCTGTGGTTTACTTCATTGTTCATAGGAGCGAAAGCACCCAAGTGACCTAAGCTCCGAACTCTTTTCCCTGAGCCTTCATTTCAGCAGCCTGCTGATCGTAGAAGAAGGCCCGGATTTTGTTGTAGGATCGACCGGCCAGAGTCTGGAGCCGATTGTCCGGTTTTTCGGATTCTAATGCAATCTAACTTGGGTGTATCGACCCGCCACAGGTCCCTTTAGTCGAGATAGCACCGCAGTGGCTACCTCAAAATTGTCGGCAAATGCGTCCCAATTTGCCTTAACCCATATTTGGAGTTTGATCCACCATTTGGCAAATGGCACTCTGTCTCCCTCAAAGGCGCCAGGGTCAACAACGACTTCGACTTTCTTATTGAGTTTCTTCTCGACCGAGGGGGTTGCCGCAGGAGGATTTGCCTGCAGCTTGGCGAGTTGAGTGGTCAATGTCAAGATCTGTGCACGCATGTTGTGCAACAGAGCATTGACATCCATTTGAGGTTGCGACAACATGTCGACTTGTTCTCTTGTAAAGTAAAAAAAAAAGGTAACTTGGGGCCCCGCTTGCTATCTGCGGATCAACCTCTTCCCAGCTGAGTATCGGATCTCAATCTCCGACTACCCACACTATAGTATTGAAATTGTATGTAAAGTTATAGTATTAAACCCTGGTCCAAACGGTTGTCAGGGGGTGGTCCGCTTGTTAAGCTGTCAACCCTTCTCCAGACTGGTGGAGGCAAGTGCCTGGCCTGGTCAGAGGTATTCAAAGAGGAAGTTTTGTATTCTAAAATCTAATCAACAGAGGTTCCACACCACTGCTGAGCTATAGTACTCCCCTTAACGCTGGGGGCCGCATATCAAAGGTTTTGTTTCTTCTCCCAAAGCACTACAAGGCCGTCGCTAGGAGCGCGCCTATTTGCTATGCGGGATATTCCCAAACAATAACCAAATCTCCTTCACCCTGGAGTCCAGGTGCCCAGTGGGACTTTTTGCACAATGTGCGAGAGAGTAGAAGAGCGAGTCCTATGTAACAACCAAGACTTAGTTACTCTGGCGCACACAGGAACACACTATAAAGGTAGTGGATGGGGAGTGGTTACCCCTTAGGCTGCAGAGAGTTTGTTGGTTAACAACAGGAGAACTCGCTGAGGAGTCTCCTGGATCTATTGGGGTATATATACTAATACAGAGTGTTTGTACTTATGTACTGTACAGTTGGTAAAGTCAGTGGCTGATGATGTCATGGGGCCTAGCCCGCATGACCAGCTCCACTGTGTGAGAGAGTTGTATCTAAAATAAGAAGAAGGCAATGCGGCGCGAGAAGGAGGAGTTTGATCAAAAGGGGAAATGCCGCGTGGCACCATGTGTGAAAGCTAAAGTATACAAGGTTAAAGCGGAGAATGAAAAGAAGGAAAGGTCCGAAAATTGTGTCATCGTAACACGCACTGATGGACCTTCTACAGCCCAAGTCCCAAGTGTATTGTTAAAGGTGCTACACAAATGACTAGATGGGGAAGTGTTGTCATGCACCAAAGTTGATTAGACAGGTGTCAATAATGAAGCAAATATTCAAAAGACTCGCCTTTGCACCACACAGGCACAGTGCCACGTGGAATAGTAAACAATATTGCCTTTTTCAAACTTGTGGCTGATCAGCACCACCTCTATTAGGCAATCAAGTTGCGCTCACCTTTGCTTTCCATTCTGTATTTTTGGCATTTTGGCAGTTTGGAAAATTTTTGCGTCGGCACTGGCTACAAATTGCATTGCTCCCTCACCTTCATCATTTCCCTTACTCCCCTTTCTTTGCCTAGCCCCACCATGGGCCCCTTACTCTCTTTTTTATTCTCACTGGACGGTTGTTTCTGGCTACCTATTCTAGTCCACTTCCTCATCACCTCCACCCTTCTCCTACTCCCCTCCCTCCCTCGTTTACCAGGTGGTCCAATATAACCAGTCCATTGGTAAGGCCATGGAACTGTCAGATTTGGACTAGGTGGTTGACCGGTGGCTCCAGTTTCTTTTTCTTCAGCAGAACATTCATTTACAGTGCAATTAATTTTGATTTTTGAATCATTTTTATGGAAACATATTTTTTTAGAATGCCTGACTGACAATAAAGGAACTGTGTTGATACTGATATTGTTTTACCTTGCCCCCCTTTTTACTGCATCTTTCCATGACATCATGATTTTCTTGCTCTCTTTCTGCTATTGGACTTTATTTTATGGCTGTACAAACCTGTGACATTACTTACACAGCATTCATTGTTCTATCCCTTTCTTTTCTTTATTTTGACGATCTTATCCTGTACTACCTATGCATGATTTTTCAGTGTACATTCCTTCCTTCATGTTCTTTCTCATTTTTTTTGCACAACTATACTGTGCATAGCCTACCTTTCTTTTACTATATAAACCCCTGTATTTTACCTTGTAAAACAGAACAAGAAATCACAATCCAGACTTTTTCTCTAATCTCGAGTTCACTACTCTCTGCTACTTGTGATCCAGTGTGGTCACAATACTTCGCACTGCTACCACTGTTATTTGCTGTCATTGTCACTCTCCACTTTTGAAATCATTATCATCCCTTTCAATTAGAGTTCTTCTGAGCACTACAGTCTGTGCGTCAGGAGCCTGCTATCATTGGGAACTTTGTCACCTTGTCATTCTCAAACCTACCTTGTGTTACAATTAGCAAGGTATTGCTTGTCTATATTCACCACAAAGCCCTTATCTTTATCTTCCAACTATCCCTCCTCCTCAAAACCCACACCCATACATCCCAGGGTTTTACTTTGAAGGATTGTTATACATACCACCCCACAAACAACCAGAGCGCCCACTGTTCTAGGAGGCAAAGCCCATAAACCAGTTCCATGGAATCTAAGAGGATTGTGTGTTAGTTTGTTTTTGTGTGTGGAACAACAGTCCTCATCATCAACAGTGTATCAATAAAATGTGAGGGCAAACAATTATTGTTATCATGTACACTTACCTGTAGAGATGTTTCGAGCTTGCAATTCAGTATGATAAGCAACTGAAATCATAGATGGGTGCAATTCTGAGGTGTAATTGTGGCTTTTGGTAAGGCTCTGTATCGTGCAATGCATTATTGAGAGTTGGATTGCATTAATAATGATAATATTGTTTTACTTACTGTCTGCCAACATTTGAAGACTTGTGGGGTTGGGTACATGCAAAAATATGCTGAGAGCTTTGGGAAAACTTGAAGATATGGGTGTATTTGGCTGCAACATGCTAAGTACAAAATGATAGTTAGCAATTTGGAATGAACGGATGTAATTATTTTGAAAGATCAACTAGTCCATGATTTTGGTAGTGCACCCTATCAATAAAATAACTCTTACCTTAAATATGAAATGTTTTTATCTTGTAATGGAATTATGACAAAAGATGCAAAATCATCTTTCCAAGACAAAACCATGTAAGTGCTTACCTTGAAGATTGAAAAAATATAACAAACAAGTAGATTCTGTTGATTTTGAAATATATACAAAGATTAGATGGGATGGCAGCAATGCAACAGACACTCTCACATTTATTGGTGTTCCTAACAAATGACTATTTCTTGCATTAGACTGTTGCAATATAAGTACTGATCAAGTTTGTTCAAATGTGCAAGCAAATGGTTACTGTTGGATGATATATTGCTATGATGCATGGGGGTATATATTAGAGGCAATCAGAAAAATTCTTTCTGGCATTATCACTGCGAAAAAACTCAGATTATGCAATGTTGCAATGTCTCGGAAATCCCTACATATTCACCACATTCCAACCACATGTTGATCAGATCACTCCACATCAAAATAAGTTGGAAATGAACGGGTTCTACGCACATTACAAGTAGATCACAACCAGGTATCAACCACATTTTCACTTGTATAATCTGAGTAGTTGGATTTTTGACAATAATGTAATAACCACTGGAACTTATGTTAGTGTATTATATAATATTCACTGGTAATTATACCCAAATCAACCCGGTCCCTCATATAAATGGACAGATTAATATCCTCGCTCGCTCGAAGTCAATCAGACAGGAAATAAACTCCATTCATAAAGTAGACAGATGAGAATACATGTGTATATGACTAGGCAAACAATGAGATACCTGTTTTCTCCCCTTGAAACCCCACAAAACCATGCCACAATCCTGAACCTCCCTTGAGCAAAAGAGCACCTAATACAAATCCCTAGTTATTAAAAGTAGCTGTCAGAGAAGTAAAGGATATGAAAGAGACTAACCAAACTTACAAGGACATGACAGACAAATGGGTGAAAGTATGACACAGAAAATATTGGACTGCAGAGTGCATACAAGCAAATGCATGCGGAAATTGAAAACCTAAAAAAAATAAGTTGCCATTTTGAATAGAGGGATGGGACCAAAAAACGCTCACTTTTGTAGGATGCTATAAACAAAGCCTTCACCAGAAAAATCAGTGTTAACAATCCCAAAGTGAAGAACCTACTCGCCCTCCCCTCCACCATAGACTCTAGCATGTAGCCTAAAGACCCAGTAATGCACTAGCAGAAGCCTCTTCAATGGTATGATGTATGGTACTCACCTATTAATCAACTCCCTATCTTTCTCCATAATCTCTTAGGACTTGGAAAGAGTGAGAAATTGTTTTGATGATCAAATGATCATCAATGCTTGATCCAAGGTGTTGCCATAGATCATGGTGGAGATTTTGAAGAGGTTGTTGAAAGTGTTATTGGTGAAATGACGAGATAATATGATGAATCACCTCATGGTTAAGATTAGATAGACGCCGGTATATCATTTCATACTCAGCAGCCTCTACTTCCTCCAACTTGGTGTCAATCTCCTGCTGGCGTCTGATTGCAAAATCTGGAGCAACCCATTGAGTGGGGATGCTCATTTGTGAGTCCAGGGTGTGTTGATAAGATAGTGAGTCAATGGACATTGTGGTTATTGGTGAACAATTAAATTATTGATTATTAGTTAGCAACGAGTTACAAAGTATTTACAGATAAGTGGTTACAGTCTTTCGCGTTATTTCTACCCAAGTCCATCATGAGAATCTGGTCAATATGTAGTAAAAATGTCGACATAAGAGCAAGATATTGAGAGGTCATTATCTGATTGATATCCTGTGGAAATGTGGCCAAAATGTGCCCATTTTGGCCACATTTCCACGGTTGATAATCTCAGTTTTTTTGCAGTGTTACTGAGTGTATATGGTATTGTGTTTGTACTGATAGATATTGTAACATTGCATGCTTTGTACCCTTTACAACCGAATTATATGACTCTCTGGAAACTTCCCCGATTACCTGATGTGGCAGGTCACGGACCGTGGAACAGGAGACCAAGGACGACACGGACCAGCTATACCTATACATCTTTTGAAGCAGTCTTACTTGTTTCTCGCAAAGACTTGGACACCAACTAAATGACCCAAATTTCTGTGAAATGTATGCCCGGGGATAGTACCACCAATCCCTCTGCCAACGACAAAAACCAGTGGGCGATGTTCTCTCCATAACGTTATCCCATTGACAATGAACCTCGCCAAAACACCAACTTGAAAATCCTCTGCATAGTATCTGCATTAAATAGTTTCTCACCCAAGGTCTTCATAGTTGCCTATTCTCTGTCCTTTATTCTCTGAGCTGATGCCCATCTGTAGCTTATTGTGTGAAGGTTGCGCCCTCAGGCTATTACTACTTACCAGCCGTTTCCCGTTCAGGACGCGACGATCTTCGAAGCACTATATATCACCCTTGTAAGTGAATTGGACGGACAAGCGCCGAAATCTTTCTTCTTTCTGAACCACACCACTCGTCTATAGCGCCCACTTTTGAAGATGTCGTCTTACGCCCCCCGCGGCCGTCGTGGTGCCCAAAGGACCTTTCCTTATAATAGCAACCGGAGTCCAGCCGTTGCACCTCCTCAGGAGCCCGAACGTAGTATGTACGAGGGTCTAGTCACCGCGTCCGTCGCGACCATCGAGCCGCCATCCATCACAGACGACAGTGATGTACAAATCACAGACGTGAAAGATCTCGGCTCGTATAACTGGGCTGAATCGCCAGTAAGCAAGCATTCTCGTCCCCGGTAAGTGTGGCGTCATGTCGTAAAAAATTGCATTAATCGTCCTTTGCAGGTTCTCCGCCTATTTGGGTAGACAGAGCGCCACCATTTACCATCCAGCGCGATACTGGTCTCTTCTATGTCGACCAGAACGGATATCGCATGGCAAATGCGCCCCTTTTGCCCCTTTTCAAAGCGGTAGATATCATACAGAAAGACAATGGCGATCCAGCTTTGGATTGGTCTTCTGTAGATATCATATCCGATCGCAATGGCCTCAGGAAATTAGTCCGTTGGGTTAAAGGCTCGAATGAGTGGTTGAAGGGAAGCCAGAACACTCTCAGGCCCAAAACCTTCAGGATTGATATGCAATTAGTTGGGGAGAGAACAGTACTCTTGAGCCGATGGAACACTCGCTTACAAGAAGAGGTTGTGGGATATGGACACAACTTTGAACGGGACTGCACACGCCTTGCTCCAGGATGTGAAAAGAGTTCAGGCCACCATCGAATCGTCAACTACGTAAGCATTTGTGTGCCTCTTGATTCGCATTATGTAAAGTTACTGAACAGCTTATCTTTTTAGAATTTTGAAGGCCTTAATATGGTCGTTCGTTTTGAGGTGGATGCCTGCGTAAGCTCTCCTGTTACGGTGCCCTCTAGATCTTCAAGGGCGGATGATCTGGAGTCGGCGATGGCGGGACTCGCTATCAGGCCGGCGTCAAAACCTGCATCTACTGTTACTGAGGACGGAATCACAATCTGCAAAGTGGGAACCAACATACCTAGGACTTCCATCGTAGAGCTCACCACTTTACGCGAGGGGAATCTAGACCAATTCGTCTGGGACGAAGTCTACTTCCAACTCCTGCTCTCTCAGACACCCAACCACTTCCTAGCTTTACATACTAGGGGCACGTTTTCGAGAGTTGAGAGGCGAAAACTCTCTACTATGGGCGAAAAGCTGGAGGGCGGCGATAAGGCGCAGCGTGTCATGAAGGGCATGAAGCGGGTGTTAGAGGCCATCCAGGAACTTGCAATTACGCACGGACCGGAGGGGAGGTTGACTTTGGTGTGTGATGGTACTGAGTTAAAAGTCTACAGCAGATTGAGCGATGGCAGTCTTTTACCTAAGAGTATATTGAGCCGATTTGATTGATATGATGATATCAGTGTTTTATCTTTGTAACACCACATCAAACATCTGTCCTCCCATGTGTTTCCAATTTATTTTGTCCTTGCTGGCCCCATGATACAAGCAAATCGAGGGAACTCGACATTCCGTGTTATCCATAGATTGTTGTCCCGTGTTTCTATGTTCACACCCACAACCCACCCCCTGGTCATGAAGAAATTGTTCATGCAACCCGCCAGCTACGATACCAGTCATCGCGACGACGAGAAGTGGCGCGACAAGTTTGGAGTTTCTCCATCCTCTTATCTTTCAGATAACTATCGATGAACAAGTCAGATGCAGAAGGCGTCGAAAGAGAAGCAGATCCTCAAACAGGCTAGGACATGTTCTAGGAACACAGCTGTACAGAGGTACCAATGCGTGTAGGGGCAGCTTTACGGAAGAACGGGGAGATATCAGATCCACAACGTAACCTGGCGTGTCATCGTGCTTCGCCATGGAGAAACTCCGGAAATTGTAAAGGTGCAGCTCAGAGTCACCAGTTTATGCCTTCCGGTGCTACTAGTGATCGTATCACTGGGCATGGAAGATAGGAAGATAAGGGGACTACGATAGAAGCAGTTGCTGTTGACAACGGAGCTATATGAAGCGTCCCGAATGCCAAGCCGTGCGGCGAGAAAACGAACTTCTGGATAAGCCTCTTCCCGGCTGCCACAATCGATGATCTAAAACCTAGAAACTCGGTGAAAGATGACTGGAAATATACTAGATAATCTCTGCCATATGATGTTTCGACGTAGACTGGGTTTCGGCCTTGTGATATGTGAGACCTTCAAGTTAGAGCCGCTCCGGGGGACCGCGGATACATCTTGAAGGTGCTAGTGTATCACGTATTGTGGACTGATCGGACGAGTCGACACACCACAGAGATCTGATGCGGATCCAGCTTGAGAGAAGGACAGAAACAGAACCTCCACCAGACCCGGGCTCGTATCAGTAGAGATACAGATAGCGTTTCGCTTGGAACCACATCGGCAAAAGACACGGGAACATGTCCCTGCGATGCTTATCTGACGGCGAACTGGAAATAAAATGCCCGCAGACTATTTTAAAAAAGGATAAAGGTAGTGCTTGGTATGGCGAACCAGACGAACATATCGCTCCGCTAAGTGGGGCAAGCAGGACCGAGAGGACGACATAAAGCATAGACAGCACGCCATAAACGGAAACCTCTTTGATTAATCAGCACGGTGAAAGCTCCATTGATTGAGACGGATGTTAAATCGACATTCTCGGAGAGAAGAAACGCGAGTTGTCATAGATTGGGTGCGAATGCGAGCATGTAGTTCTCGGCACTAAATGGCACGGTTAGAAAGTTGTTCCCGGACTCGAGCAGACCAAAGAAGCTGCTGGTACTAGTGCGATACTCGGAGGATTGAGCTCCAAAAAGGCTGGTGTGCGTGCAGCCTGGCGGCACGGCCGCGCCGGCGGGCCTGCTTGAGAGACATCACCACGACGATGTGTATACTGGTGAAAGGATAGGGGGTAATAGGGACGGGGTCAATAATAGGGCGATATTTGGACTTCTGGGCTCTGGCCAAGTTTTCGAGAAAGCTAAGTATACTGGGAGCGCAGCAATGCGCTGCAGCGCTAAGATCGCCGTTGGAGATTAGTACTGGCCAAGGTAGCCAGGCCGAATGGAGAGATGCCTGAAGGAGAATTGAGAAGTGGAGACAGACGCGCAATGAGGTAATGAAGTATAAGGCGTTGATGATCGTACGGATGCTTGTATACATAGGGTGCGACGGGAGATACGATTGGCAGAGGTGGACGGTGGCACGACTGAAGCGTGAGCATATAGAGATATGTAAAGAGATGCTAGGAAGAGAAGATTTGTCGGTGTCCTAGCCATCGAGATAGCCGTGAAGAGGACTCACGTGCGTGCAAGGAAGGGCAACATACACTGCGGACAGGACTACGAACAAGGCTACGTGAGAACTAGCGGTGATATAATATCAGAAAAATGAAAAATGACAGTTGGCAGAGCGGTGAACGTTGTGAGTGTGATCAAACATGCATTGCCCCGTTGACAGGGGTGATGCAAAGTGTAAAACTGAGGGTCATGTAATACACAGCCAGAGCTTGAAGCCTGCGTGAAAATAAATGTCTGATATGTGGATCCAATACGGCTCCGAGATTAAGAATACACGAAGAGCCAAGAAGACGGGAGGTGGGGTAAAATTACCATCTGAGCATTCCCACTGAAGGAGTGGTTCTATCTGGCAGGAGGATGGTGAGAAATACGAAAATAAAGAGAATTACGGCATGGGGAGGGGTAAAAGGTTTGGCAGAAGTGATCGGAGTAATATGCAGGTGAAGAATAGCTGGAAAGCTCACGTCGAGTCGGTGATTTAAGCAGAACGAAAGAACGATGAGGTAAAGCCAAGTGAAGGGGTTTATTCCCGATAAAATAGACAGGATATGCACGAAAAGAGATAAATATATAATTGCAATGTATATGTCAGGGCCGGAGAGTCGTCGGGAAAAGGAGCAGCGCAGTGATTCGAGGGATTGGCATGAATTCGGTCTGGGACCAATCCAGCCGGTGGTGCCGGAAAAGGCAAAAAGCTCGGAGTAATATGCAGGAGTTGAAACTCCGCCTGCTCAGAACGGAGCGACGCGCACATTCCAGCGAATTACGCGGCCTGCGACCTACAGTGTTGCCTCAAAGATCCCCGTCCGTACTCTCAGCATCGTATATACCTTGTCCAGCGCGTCTTTCCCAGCCCATTACACCCTCATGCCTGACATGACCTCGCTTGCTCATCCTCAACAGAGATCCTTCAACCCCTACAGCGAGAACGGCGGTACCATCCTCGCCATTGCTGGCGCTGACTTCAGTGTCATTGCAGGTGATACCAGGCAGAGCGAGGGCTACAGTATTCAGACACGATATGCCCCAAAGGTCTTCAGATTGTGCGTCCACTCTTTCATCTATTCTCTGTCTCGTGCTCATCCTCAACCAGGACTGATCGCGCAGTACTCGCTGTTAATGGCTTCGCAGCTGATGGCAACATGTTCGTGAAGAAAGTAAAACAACGTCTCGAGGTCCATACTCCCCTCGTCTCCCTCTTCTTCTCTCCTCATGATCTTCTTTTAGTGGTATCGACACGCCCATTCAAAAGACATGCCTCTCCGCGCAATCGCACGACTGATACAAACGATGCTTTATGCTCGACGATTCTTTCCTTATTATGTCTATAACATTTTGGGTGGTATTGAAGAAGATGGTCCGTCATACTACCAGTCACACTCCGATCCTCGTTCATTTTTTCTCATTATTCCAGGAACCGGTGCCGTATATTCCTTCGATCCCGTCGGTTCTTATGAAAGAGAGGCCTGCCGCGCAGCAGGGGCCGCTCAATCTCTAGTACAACCATTCCTTGATAATCAGGCAAGTCTACTCTAGTGCCCCTGTTTTCCCATCCCTTGTTCCGATCCTTCTCCGATATACACCCGTATCTTGATTTTCTGACTCTGCATAAAATAGATTTACTTCAAGAACCAGACTCCTGCCCTAGGAACTTCACATCCCGCACACCTACCTTTACCTACAGTTTTGTCCATAGTCATTGACTCGTTTACGAGTGCTACCGAGCGGCACATCGAGGTGAGTGATGACGCGTCCATTTTTCGGTTATTTTGTTCATGCCCCGAGACTCCCTTTTAGGTTGGTGATGGCCTAGAAATGTATGTTGTCCTCGCCAAAGGCCGTAATCTGCAAGGATTGGAGGGTGTACGTGGTATGCAGGAACTAACTGTGACTGACGATGGCGAACGTGTGTTCGTTGTACGGAGAGACCTGAAGAAAGACTAAATTCCTGTAATCGGACGTGGGCAATGGTCAGCCTTTTGCATACTACTGTTGTTGTGAAAATAGATCCATTGGTCATGGGTACCACAAACGCTTTCCAATTCACAATTCATCGACACAAGACTCGAGAGCATTTATGTTTTTTGCGCTGTTGTAGGATGTAATATACGTAACAGCTATAGACTAGTCAGCATTGATCAAGAACGTCTTTCAGACGCTACTTATTGCATACTGCATGTCATGAATTGCATGAACTTGATGCATTTATTCCATGAGATTACCGATAAGATAGCGCCACTAGTCACCGGTCACCATTGAGCGCCATTGCAAGCGCCACGACGAACACTGCATTGTGACATGAGGTCGTGAAGTATAAGTATAAAAGCTGCAGCCCGTTGTTCTGCAACTGAATTATATATGAGCGCTACAGTACCACGCTGCCACACATCGCCGTCGATGAGAAAAAGACCCCGTTGGAGCATGTGGCGGGTCAGACCGAGCGAGGTGCATGAAACAAAGACGGGAGCCAAACAAGTCAAAACTCTCCACTCGTTCTCACTCATCCTCGCATCCTCACCGTCTCCAACGTGCATCACTAGCACTTCCAGCGTCCTCTTCATCGTTCCCAACGTCCTCGTCACTTAAGACTTACCCTTGGACATAATCATCACGATTTCCTCGATGATTCTCGCTTCTCTCCTCGCTGTTGTGCTCGCGGTCCCCGCTTTGGGCCAAGACATCGTCTACACTTCCATACATAACATCACCAACATCTACGGTACTTGGAGCTCGGGTAGTCAAAATGTCATGACTGGCCCAGTATGTCTTCAATTTACGACCCTCTTTCTTATGTGTGACTTAGCATCCGATTTGTAGGGGTTCGCCCAACCTGCCAACGAGTCTTTCATATACCCGAAGACGACCGGTTTATCCTATTCTTTGTGAGACTTTGCTCACAATTTACATCGTATGCTTTTGCTTATACTGACACATTAGCACGTCCGATGGTTACTACGAAATCGCTCGGTATCGTATGAACGGCAATGGTAAGGCTTTAACATGGCTCTGCCTTCAATGTGTTCTGACTCTTTCATTAGGTTCACAGCCCAACTGCATTACGGGTGTCTTGAACTGGTGTCACGGTACTTATACCTTGAATCCTAACGGGTCAATCACCACAATCCCTTTCGGTGATGGCTACCAACAAATCCAAGACCCTTGTGCCGCCTACTCTAACTTTGTCCAAAACTATAATGATACAGAAATCTATGTCCAGTGGGGCATCTCTCAGGATCCAGTCAAGGGATACACCCTCCAGCTATACCAGTACGACGGTACCCCCCTGGCACCCCAGTGGCTCGTCTCCACTTCTCCCAACATGCTTCCTACCCAGTCTCTGCGCAACGTGACGCCACCCCTGACGACGAACAGTGGGCTCACGCAGAACGCAATTGTGCTAAACAAAAACGCGGGCGAGCGGAGATGGGCTATTGGGAGCATTCATGGAATTCTGGCCATTGCATCTGGGTTGGGCATGATGTCGTTACTATTGTAGATAAGGAGGAGTGCCTATATTGAGTGGCATTTTTTTTATTTCATCTGAGACGCCTTTTCTTTTCTACTGTTAGCACGCTTTTTTTTTTTTTGCATCGGACCCCCTTATGGCCGTGGACAAATACCTACCTGTGCCCCGTTCGTGTCCATAGTAGTTAATACTCACGGATGCTCACGATCGACTTGGCTCAGTTCACACTCGTTTTGCCCATGGATAATGGTTTTTTTATGTGTGCGTTTGATATTATACCCAGCGAGTAATAAAGATAGTACTAGAAGGTCCACTTAGTTACTGCTGTACAGTTCTCAGGCAGGATCGGTAGCCAGTGACGTGACAATGACATGCCATGATAGTGACACGTGACATCGATTCTTATTTTATTCGATTTTTTCTTTCTTTTCTTCTCTGATGTTTTCAGTCTTTTGATTATTGGATTATTCGACAGTAGAAGATGGAGCCAACGTTCTCAACCTTCATGCAACATTCATGCAACATTACTAAACGATAAGGTGTAGAAATCGAAATCGGACTGTGAACGCTGTTTACTTCAAGAGGCCTCACTACAGTCGAAAACAATCTGAACATAGGGCAATCTCGTTGCGTAACATTCCATGGTGAGTTCAAGTTCCTAAAATGTCGACCCAGTCGCTTTCTCCTTTTTTTATGATGAACACAACGCGGATGTAAAAGTCCAAAGGGACTATTTGTCCGAGAGCGCATAAACTCGTGTGGATTCCTCCGTTGCCTTCCTACTGATCCTTTTTTCCTCACTTTTACTGTCTACCTATCGATCTAATGGAGGACGTTGCTGATGTCCTTTTGACGTAGGTCCTATCGTGTGGCGGTGAAGCGCCGCTGTGTGACTATGCGTGTTGACGGAATCATTGCTATCACAGCTCAGTATCTTCCGCGCAACTAGCGGCCTTGTCGATACAGTGATCCCAGATAATACAGGTCTTGCGTAGCATGGTTCTCTCGCAGACGCCGTCGCACGACCCTGGTTTAATTGTCATATGAAGTCGTTTGAGAGTCTAGATAACTATGTGTTGCCATAAAATATTTACGCCTTGCTATCCAGGTCAATGTATTTCACCTGTTCAATCACAAACAATTTATATGACATTGGGAAATAGTTGTCAGTCTGGCGTTAAGAGAATATCTGGTGTGCATTTCCTGTGGGTTATCTGTCTTGTGTTTACATTGGCTACGAGTGATCTTGAAAATGGACTTCAAGGACTCTCGAGACGAGAATGTTTCTCTTTCAAGTGTTAATGGAAGACTGATGAGGACAGCGAAAAGGATTGTCCAAGTTCTGCTCAATGCGCTACCAATTCTACATATGATCCCTTGCAATTGTCTGAGTCTCCATTAACCAACGGCGAAAAAATGAAATAAAATCGAACCTTGGAAAGAAACGTGTTTCCTGAGCCTCTGTCAAAATTTCACCGGGAAACGCAAGGTAAATTGGACAGTAAATTCGACGCTTTTCCAAGCTTTATCCGAGCGAGCAGACGCCCTCTTGTAGATTCAACCATCCTTTTTCCCCCTTTCCCGTTACTCGCCACTACAACGCTTATCGAGTGAGCTTCCTGCGCTCGTTCGGCTGATTATTATGGACACCACGGCCTCCTTGGCTCCTTGGACCTGTATGCCAAGGATGTTCACATCAAGAGTCGCATTCAACGGATAATTCAGCGGCTCATTTTCTTACGAGGCACACTACCCTACCTGGCTTTCTGATGGACGACATGTTAGTAACGGGGGCTTTGTGGTCGCCAGTCTGAAATCTGGGAATGCGATGCCTATGATTCAGAGGCGCAACTTCTTGGCGAACTTGGGCCACTTTTTTCCCAGATTATCGAGTATCCGGTCGTGAGGTGCTACCAGTATAATGTCCATGCGGATGATGTGCTGGTCCTCCCTTTGGGCCAGCGTAAGTGTATTTTTCTATGGTAAAAACGGAAACATACTTCCTGGCTTATTTGCTAAGAAAAGGTAGAAAATAATCGCAAGCAAGTGCAAGTATATCTAGTAATCGACAAAGACTAGCCGAAAATGAACTTTGTACAAAAAGGAACAACAAGATGCGGATACTAGCAAAGGTGAACTGGCCAAGGACGCAGAATTCACAGAACTGGCCAAACTCCAAGTACAACCAGAAGGATTAAAATTCCTATGGTGAAAAATTCATACCTCACTGGAACAGGTCAATAAATTCAAGTCGATATGAATTTCAAAGAAAAACCACCACGTCGACGTTACATACTCAAGTATATTCAAACAGTTCGCAAGGCGTAATGATATTATAAATCTGCTTTAACAATGTTTTCGTATGAAACGACAAGGTAACTACAGGAGCGTGACCGTCTACTAGAAATAAAACTTGAAGGTGGCCCCATCCTGATAAAAGTAGCCTAAAAGAATTCACAGTAGATTTTCCAAGCTTGATTGTTTACCGTTCATTTTTCCGAATGAATCATACGTCGGAGGGGTAGTGCCCCAGCACTGTCGCGTGATTGTTTCCAAGTTACCTTGGAAGTCAGTTTTCATATCGCGCCATTTTATCGGGAGTTCAAGCCTGTCCCACACAGGAACCTTCCAGGGACCTGTTCTGGCGGCCATCAAGGTGCGACAACGAAGGAATGAGGCCAGGGTTTCTAGGTTCACGTTCTGAATGTGGAGTTCCGATAACTGCTCGACCGGGAAGGAAAAACTCTCAGTCAGTCGTGACTCTCCCTCGCCTCGATAAGAGCAACGTGGGAACCCCGTGTTGAGACAATCTAAGATGATAGCGTCTGGGAAGTCAAGGACAAGCGTCACCAAGGATGGCATGGACAGAAGAAACCAATGATTGGTGAACTTGGCCCACGGTGAAACTGGAGGTTGCTGGTTGGACGTCATGCCTATTTTACACGGCTGCCAGGAGCAGAGGCAAACACTTGACAGCTTGAGAAATTTAATTTTGTTGAGGGGAATAGGCAGTTGGTTCACCATGGCATGCAGGAGAAAGGATGCATCATTTTCACGCTGGCCATGATCAATGTTGATGCGCAGGGCCATGATAGCTTCGTGGTAGCTGATTTTATCGTGTTGAAGGCGCCTGTAGACATCCTCAAAGGCCAGCGACGTCAAAGAAGGGAAGTGGAACGCGTGTAGGAACGCTAATGCTTCTATGGGATGGGTGTATCCGATTCCCAATTCACGGACCTTGGGGAGTGTGACCATGGATGAGATTGTTGCTGGCAAGGTAGGCTCCGAGCCACGTATTACTTCAGGTATGACTCCATATAGACGAAGGTACTCGAGAGTGTGAGAAATGGCCATCAATATGTGACGCAAGTCGTCGAGAGAAGGTCGAGTATTGTATGCGAGGTAATCAATAGTGAGCGAGGTGAGATTCGTGACCGACCAACGACTCCACTCAGTATGGACCCTGCACAAAGAAATAGACCTGAGGATGGAGTGTGGAGTTGGCTTGTCCCGAGTCTGTAGCTCCGGTCAAATATGGAACCATCTCTTGCTCTGCTGAGGTACTGTTGTCGTCAAGAAGACATTGCCATACACAACATCTCCTTATCTCCCACCTCTCTAGTAGCGGCATTTTTCGCGGGCAAATTCGAGAACTGACAATAGACGTCGTGGCATGGCTGAGGCTCCTAGCCTCAAACTCCTTCACACTTCCAAGGCGTGGAGCTATAATATCCAGAATAGCAAACGGTGTATCACCAACTTGAGGAACTTCCGGGATGGCCTCATTAGAATTACACCAGCTTAGATCAAGATAGATATTCAAGGGGCAGTCGCGAGAACGCGATAAGAAGATTTTAATCAGAGGGAATGCGTCAAGAGGGTCGGTTTTGCGCTTGTGGCCATGAGCTTCCGGGGCTTGAAGTGAAGGAGGAATTCCCGGTCTTCTGCTGACTATAGTGGTCCACAAAGTTGGGGTATTAATGGCCAAGTCACGCCAGGTTTTACAGACGTGAGAGAGGATGACAGGAACAGTACCCCTGTGGAGTAAGTCATGTTGGAAAACGGCTATATGGAAAATTGGCAGTAAGATGTCTGCAGGAAGTAAGGCAGCAGAAAGACGGGGAGATTTTGGCGAAAGGGCGCGAAAGGGCGTGATTGAAAGAACGCTGCCGGGGTCTGCATCCATTTTTGTCTATGTCTATGTCACTAGAAAGTGAGTACTATGCATATACGAAATACTTCATCGCACCTTTGTCGCCGGGGCCTCCATGAACGCGTAACTTGAGTGCTAGCATAGGCCGTGCTCGTGACGGTCACCCACAAATTAATGCCATCCTTAAGAGAGTGGGTGTACATTGATATGAAAGGAAGACTTTATTGAGGACTTTGTAGTGTGTACTGGAAGGGGATGCGTGCGGGTATGTGGACATCACCAGCAGGTCGTAGTGGCACTGAAGGTAAAACACAAAGAAACTCACTGTTTGTCGTTTCATAGAGTCGTTAGGTGGTATTCATTGTTCATAGCCAACACTGATTACTTCGCCGCCTCGAGGGCAACATGCATCCACTCGTTCCACTTCTGCTGCGTGCTCGTGGCATTGGTATACTTGCTTCAAATATGGACGGCCAGGAAGAACAAGTCTTTTTTTGTCACCAAGTCTGTGCCTCATACCTTGTGGACATACTTGGAACGAGCAAACTGTCTCTGAACTTTGACCAAGGCAACAACCCGACGCAGTGGGGCAACGTCGTTACCAAGGGTTTACGACGCTATAAAGCAGAAGCTTAAAAGAATAAGATACTAGTAAGTTCTCCAGAACCCCAATCAAAGCCATAGACGTACTTGTATTGCAAGTCTTGTGTTCGTGTAGGGTAACAAAAGGCGAATTTACTTTCATTCCCCATATTTTGCAGTGGTGTTATTCTATTCAAAGAGCGCCGGTACATCCAGACATCATAATAATTCACGCCTTCCTATGAAATATTCAACTCGAAAAAAGTAAACAAAAAAAGCAAACAAAAAACTTATAGATTTTAGTAGGATCACTGCCAAATGACTTGATGATATTACAAGTGATGATGGCAAAACAAAGCAACAAACTCGCTGATTCTCATTTCCTCGACAAATGTCCTTTGGCCAACAGATATGCACTCGCATTTAAAAACGTGAGCGTAATATGACAGGTGTACTCCGGCTCTTGAGACTTCATGTGCAAGACGTTTACTTTCTCAAAGGATTGAATAAACCAGGCCGTATGGTGTTTCATAGGTGCGTCTCCCAAATCGAAGAGTCTTGCTCAAAGCATCTTTGCTCACACAACATCGATGTAAACATGGTCCTCGCAATAGGATATCAGTGTGCTGCTTTGACGGCCACTGAGAAATTGTTCCATGAATGTTTGGCTGTCGCCGATCCCAATAAGCCCATGGTGAAAGAACAAGAGAAACCTGCGGCCGCGGCTCTAACGGTCCGTGCTGAGACGCACGTGGTGAAATGCTTTTAACTGATAAGATAAGATTACCATCTATGCTCTGACTCGGACTCAAAAATTTCACCAACCACCACCAGTTGACTTGAGGCTCTAGGAAAGCGCTCGTGCTGCCATCGATTGAAGGAGTCTTACCATCTAAAAATACAAATGAGTGCGTTGTCTGCATTACAGTCAGTTCAAATTCATGCTCTAACGATGGAGTCAGATCCAGATGCATTGGCTGGCCGCCTCTTATTTGCCATCCCGAAGAAAGGTCTTCCAATAAATACTCATGTATGATCATGTTTCTGAATCAAACTGGGCTTATTTCATTTCAGGGCGATTGTACGAGAAATGTCTAGAGATACTATCGGGCAAGTCTGTTCAGTTCTCCACAAGGGTCTAGCAAGTGAAACCAGCCTGTTACTTCAGGTGCCGATATCCAGTTTCGACGACACAACAGACTAGATGTCTGTCTCGTCATGAATCACCCAATAGCTCTGTGAGATTACAATCTTTAAAGGGCTCAGTCCCGTCTGACGGCAGGCAGCGTTTTCCTTCCAGCATCAGATATCCCGTCTTTCGTCGGAAGCGGTAACGTTGATCTCGGGATAACAGGGCATGATGTGATCTTGGAAGCAAATATGGAAGAACAAGTCACAGAAATACAAAGGCTCGGCTTTGGGAAGTGCGCATTACAGGTCCAGGTTCCAGAGGGAGGCTCGATACAGTCTGTCGAGTCTCTAGCAGGGAAGCGTGTCGTTACAAGTTTCGAAGTCCTCGCGGCTGCCTACTTTGAAAAGATCGACAACAATCTCCAGCTTACCGGAGAGAGCAGGACAAAAATCCAATACGTCGGTGGGAGTGTAGAGGCTGCGTGTGCCCTTGGACTGGCTGATGGAATAGGCGAGTAAACTGATTTAATTTCGATATATCCGCGCTGAAACAGCGTCGTCTTGTGTAGTTGATCTCGTAGGTGAGTACCAACGCACTCTTTACTACAGCGATGTGCTCAGTTTCGTCTAGAATCCGGAGATACCATGCGTGCGGCTGGTTTACACGCAATCGCGACGGTGCTTCAGACAGAAGCTGTTCTCATAAAATCCAGTGTTCCCAAAAACCCCGATCACGCTCCTCTGATAGACCTCATCACCCGTCGTATCGCTGGTGTTATTGCCGCGTCGAAATACGTGGTATGCGAGTACAATATCTCTCGTGACAAGCTCCCGGTAGCTACAACCATAACGCCCGGCCGCAGAGCGCCAACCATCAGCCCGTTAGAAGAGGAAAATTGGGTAGCCGTGAGTAGTATGGTGGAAAAGAAGAATGCAGCGAATGTCATGGACGAGCTAGTGAAGATTGGAGCAGAGGATATTTTAATTTTCAACCTGGACAATTGTAGAGTGTAATGTATGGAATCATTGTATAGATCTCGAGACAAGGTGTGATATCACTGAAAAGGGTACTCACAGCCGAACTGCCATAGACTTATACTACTGTTGGCGTTCAGTTGGCGGTCTTGCAACGAGTCACCATCCAATGATGTACGTATGGATAGTGAGATGCGTTTACTCCGGTCAGATACAGGATGGTTTTGATGGGCTGAGAATTGTATTAGCGGCGAAATAACTTGAAACTAGATGTAGAATACTCACCTTGCCTTGATGCCGGTACTATACAGCCTGAATCCTAAGCCCATCAATGGTGATACAGCACTGCTTGTAAAGCGTGCGCTTTGACCATTGCTATGATATTATGATATGGTCTCAAGTCTATGCTGGATGATTCATGCAAATTTGCACGGCGGTGAGAAATATTAATATTAATCACGAGCCTCTGACTGTGGAAAGGATCTTCGGCAATTCACGCTAACCCACTGACAGTGCATATACGATTTGGCCGAGTATCATATCAAGTTTTATCAAGTCACAAACTGAGGCGAAGTATCAATCAAAGAGGCTTTTGCAATCGTACAGCCAAATCGGAGTCAGATGTCAGTTTCGCTTCCAAATCAGCATTCGATGATTTCTCTGCATCTTTAAACAATCAGATTCTCCGTACTCTCCGTGCAAAATTTTGCTTATAAGTTGCTTATAAGTCCAACGTTGCAAAGGTAGTCACATCAAGCCATCTTCGGCCGAAATACCACCCATAAGGACTATTCTCCCTAGGATTATACCGCCATAAAATGACCTACTCTCCAGAATCTTTCAAGTCTCTACTGGGAAAGCTCGTGAAGACACCAGCATCTTTTACTGCAGACGATCTCAAGTCAGCTCTCAATCATGTTTTTACGCCAGACGCCGTTCTACCAACTCAGATAGGCTCTTTCTTGACTGCGCTACACGTTCACCGGATCGAGACGCAACCAGAAGCACTTGCAGCAGCAGCTGATGTTATGCACGAGCGCGCTCTTAAAGCATCTGTCGAAAGCAGCGATCGAGACTTCATAGTCGATATTGTAGGAACTGGTGGAGATGGCCACGACACCTTCAACGTCAGCACCACGGCGGGAGTTGTAGCAGCAGGCGCTGGTGCACGAGTCGTCAAGGTGAGAGCGAAATGCCATATCTTTTAGTGCGATGGCTCATGGGAGATCGTAGCATGGTAGTCGGGCATCGACTTCTGCGTCTGGTTCAGCTGATCTGTTGCAATCTCTTGGGATGTATCTTCGTTCCCCCAACAGCGGGAACGCCAATGCCTATCGCCCGAATCCCATTTACTTTCATTCTCGCGCCGCACTACCACCCTGCGCTCGCGATTCTTGCACCGCACCGAAAACTCTTACCGTTCCGTACCCTTTTCAATGTCATGGGACCACTCATCAATCCTGCGCGGCCGAAAGGAATGGTACTTGGGGTCGCAGACCCCGAACTAGGCCCCATCTTTGCTCAATCGCTGAGAGAGGGCGGCGTTCAGCGCGCGCTGGTTGTATGTGGCGCCGAGGGTCTTGATGAAATCAGCTGTGCGGGCGATACGTGGGCTTGGGAGCTCAAAGACGGGAACATCACCCAAACCAAACTGCATCCGGAACAGTTTGGATTGAGCGTACACCCGCTCGAGGCTGTCCGTGGTGGCACGCCAGCTGACAATGCGGCAACATTCAAGACGCTCCTAACATCTGGTGATCAGATCCCAGAGAGTTTAACTCCTGTACTGCACTTTGTTCTGCTAAATGCGGCAGCGTTGTTAGTTGTCGAGGGGTCAGCTCGTGACTTCAAGGAAGGTGTGCGGCTAGCGATGGATAGTGTGATGTCTGGTAAGGCGTGGAGCGCCCTGGAGGCATTCCGCGACGCTGGCATAGAAGCATCTTCGAAGTAATACGCTTTTCGCGCTCTCACAAACGTATATGATGTGATAATATAGTTGGATTGTATGTAGGTCATTGTATACGTTAGGTGTATTTCTTGTTTAACGGGTGCACTTCGCTTTTTATCGAAGCGATGGTGCAAAGTGCACATGCGATTTCGAGAATTATTGGTTGCTGGAGTTGCTGACTCGGAGTAGCTGTAGTATTATATTCACCGGATATGGTAAATTAGCCGACCCTGACGAATTTCACGTCAGAGTGTTCCATCGCTGTTCCGTCAAATGTTCAGCTCACCCGGTTACCTCTGGAGACAGCATTTCCACCATTATGGCTCCATTCTCTTTACCATCGAAGGCTCATATAATGTTATGCTTTCATAGCACCAACCGAAGGCACTTCAAAGACGGACTCGTGCAGGATTTATTGATTGTCAAGACATGGGCTGCCCATTGTCTCCCCGAGGCAATGAATAATACTATCGAACTATCTTTGGACTTATGAATACTCTGGGTATATAACGTATACTGCGACGCCTCCAGAGATGATATCCTGTCGCTGTCGCGTTTTGTCCTAACAAGCCGTCGTTCCTATGTCTGGACCAGAATTTCATGCGCCAGCGGTTATCCACAGTGAAGATCCCGATGCTGCTGGGTCATCAAATTTATCACCTATTGAAATCAATTCCAAGGATTTTGGACTTCTTATCATACCCAAGAGACTTCGCCATGTACCTGGAAAGGCCTTTCACTTTGGTCTGTTCATGAACATATCCTTCGGCCTTGGATGTACATTTGGTCAGTTCCCAAACATGTATTATTTTCTTTGCTACTTAATTTATATTCACAGTCGTTGCTAATTTGTATTATTGTCAACCTTTACTGAGTAGGCAGTTGGTCAGGATATCTATTGACTTACTTAAACAAGTTCATATAGTCCAGCTCTCCATATCGTTCGGTGTAACATACTCTGAAGTGTCTAGGTATGTTATTCTTCTTTTTTTTCTTTTTCTTCCCCGATTATCCATGTCTCATATAGTCCTAGAATACCCACTCTAATTCAAGCAGGGTGCATTTCAAATTCTTGCAGCATATATGCATCCAGTTCTGATGTGATTTAACTTCAGTTACTGCATTGGCTTACTCTTTATTTCTCCACTTGGCGATCTAGTTCGGCGACGTCAACTCATCATGTTACTTGTCTTCGCGACATCCTGCCTCACAGTCGGATTAGCCGTTACCAAAGATTTAAGAGTCTTCGAAACACTCTCGTTTCTCCTCGGGATACTAAATGTCACTCCACAAATATTACTTCCTTTTGCAGCTGATTTGGCCCCTCCCGAGTGCCGTGCGGCTGCTGTGTCAGTTGTCCAGTCTGGGTTGATGTTGGGCATCCTGTTGGCTCGGGTAATTGCAGGAGTGATTGGAAACTTTACGAGTTGGCGTGTTGTGTATTATGCGGCTATTGGGGTACAGAGCGTCGTTCTGTGTGGTGTTTATTGGATCATTCCAGACTATCCTGCAAAGAATCGCGAGTTATCCTACTACAACATATTGCACTCGATGGCTGGATTCGCAGTCACTGAACCCAAGCTGATCCAGGCTGCGTTGATCAACATTGCGTCCATGGCGTGCTGGTCAAATTTTTGGGTGACGTTAACTTTTTTACTGGGTGGCCCTCCATATCACTACTCTACGTAAGATTTTTCCCACTCTAATTCGCCGCAATATTCTGACTTTCTGCAGACTGGTCATAGGACTTTTTGGTTTGCTAGGGATGTTGGGTATATTCACTGGCCCTTTTGTAGGCCGAATCATAGATCGTCTTGTACCGTGGTATGCGACGCTCATTGCGACGCTCTGTTTGCTCGTCCTCCAAGCTATCGAAACAGCGGCTGGTGGCACAAGTATCGCTGCTGTTGTCATATTCTGCTTTGGCCTCGATGCCTTTCGGCAGGCACAGACCGTATCTCTCTCTACTGCCATCTTTAGGTACATAATTATTCGCAACGACGATGATTTTCCAGCTCTCTGATCATCTTTACGTTCTCAGTATATCTATAGCTGCAAGATCCCGATTAAATGCCGTCTTGACGCTTTCGGTATGTCGTTTGTTAATTTCAAATTTTGGTTCATTTTAGCATACGATAATGCAACAGCTGTTCGTCGGACAAGTTATGGGTACATCCGTTGGTACAAAGGTGTTCATCGAACATGGCTGGCGCTCAGCGTCAGCAGTCTCGATGGCCTGGTATGGATGGCAGCTAGTCGTTCTCTTTCTCCGGGGCCCGAACTGCGACAGATACACGTGGTTTGGGTATCAAGGGGGCTTAGTGGCGAGAAAGGACAGAGCTCCAAAAGAACGAACAGGTGACAGTGCTTCGTGCGCTGTTACGCCCATACAGTCCAATCGTGTTATCCCAACTGATAGCAATGTCATAGGGCTTGAGTCAACGGAGAAAAAGAAATCGGAAGGGTTGGGAGAAACCTGCGAAAATGTCTAGGCGTCTAACAGGTTTGGCACAGAATACTTCCCCACGCAGAAGGTCAACCCCTTTCCCGCGGGTTTGCGGGGCAGTATCTGTCGTGCATGACGCAAAAATCAAGGTTGTGTCTGCTTGATGTACACAATATGACGATCGTGTAATCTATGGCAAAATGAAGGTTATTATTTGCAAGATTCCAAAGAGCATTACCTTCGATATCGATCATCCTCTTGATGCTCCATTGCAACCAGAAGATCCCACAGTGGTCCAAGTTACAGGACTGAAGTGTTGAGAATTTCAAGAATACCAGGAATAGATCAAAGCTTCCCGTGGCTCGGGTAGGTGAGATTTTCGCAGACCATAACGGAGAACTCGAATTCAATGTTACTGATAACGACTGCAAAGTGAGTACCCGACCTGCTTCTCCTACACGATGTAGACACTTATAGCAGTAGTGACAGGTTGATTATCCCTGCGGAGCTCCTCGAGAAGCTTCTTTGGGTTGATATACTCCGACCATGGAGTGTATGGTGGAAAAAAAGTGCTCCACTCCCTCTGTCCAGTGTATGATGTCGACTTCAACTACTAAGACTATAGTGAATGAGACATCGGCCACACACAGCATCACAGAGGAAGTTGAGGTGATTTCGTCACGCACCAAAGACTTTGGGTTCCTTCCCATCCCCACAAAGCTCCGATACGACCCTCACAGACCTTTTTATTTTGGTCTTCTCTTGAATGTCTCATTTGGCCTTGCGAGCACTCTGCGTAAGTGTTCGACGTTGATGATAGGAGATGATAAAATTCACTGATTAATATGTGGTAGTCGTCGCGAACATGTACTACTGTCAACCTTTGTTGAGTATGCGTTTCGGCTGATCCTCTGAAATTGACTAGAGCCTTATCGCCTGAGTATTTTAGTTCAATTATCCATATCCTTTCACGTCACCTATGACGAAGTTTCGAGGTGGATGCACTCTCTCAGCAATGATTCTTCAAAATCACTAACTACAGTATCATCAGAATACCGACATTACTGCAAGCAGGGTAAGCCATTTGCTTTTTGATGATTATGACCACGACAATGAAGATGGTGTGTAGATATGGTGTTGGCTTGTTACTTATATCTCCCTTAGGCGATCTAATTCGCAGGCGGCAGCTGATTCTGCTTCTTATCCTGTCCTCAGCCGCCTTAAGCGTTGGACTTGCGCTCACTTCCAGTTTGCCAGTTTTTGAAGCTATTTCTTTCCTCGTTGGGGTGGCTTCAGTTGCTCCTCAGATTCTTATGCCTTTGGCAGCTGACCTTGCACCTCCTGAACGTCGAGCATCTGCCATCTCCGTTGTATTATCTGGTTTTTTGCTCGGTATCCTCATTGCACGAGTGGCAGCAGGAATTGTTGGTGACTTTGCCAGCTGGAGAATCGTTTATTTTGTTTCCATTGGAGTACAATCCGTCGTACTTTTCGGAGCATATATCATGCTGCCCGATTATCCTTGCCAAAACCAGGACCTCACATACTTCAAGATTTTCCAGTCTATGGCCAAATATGCAGTAACCGAGCCCGTGGTTGTGCAAATCATCTTGATTAACAGCGCTGCTAGTGCATGCTACACCAGCTTTTGGGTGACGCTCACTTTTCTATTGGGAGGATCCCCCTATGAATACTCAACGTGCGTGGACTCTAGGCTCCAGTATATCTCCCCATTCTAATCTGAGATTCTTTTAGACTAATTATCGGCCTATTTGGCTTGATTGGAATGCTTGGTGTTATCATTATACCATTCTCAGGGCGTCTGATTGACCGTCTTGTCCCCTGGTCTGCTGCGCTCGTTTCAATCATTATGCTACTCGTTTTTCAAGCAGTACAAACCATCGGGGGTGGCATAAATGTAGCAGCGGTGATCATCGCCTGTTTCGGGCTTGATGTGTTCAGGCAGATGCAGCAAGTAGCGCTGTCGACAATTATTTTCAGGTAAATAGTTTGGCTTTTATCATCTGAACGAGATTAACGCTGTACATTCAATTCTGAAGTATATCTTCAACTGCTCGATCTCGTTTGAATGCCCTGCTGATCCTCTCGGTATGTGTGTGAATTGAATGATGTCGTACCAAAGTCATCCTCATTCGATCTTGTCAGGTATTTATCGGTCAAGTGATGGGTACATCCGTCGGAACAAAGGTCTTTGTAGAACACGGATGGCGCGCGTGTGCGCTCCTCTCTATGGCTTGGTTCGCCTGGCAATTTGTGATCCTTATCTTAAGGGGACCAAACTGTCCCCGAGACCGCTGGATCGGATATGGAGGAGGAGTGCAGTTTTGGAAGCGTAAATGCTCTGAAAGTGAGTGTGACACAGAGAAAGCATCAGTGGTTATGATCAGCCCACCATCGTCAGTGGCCGATGAGAAACTCGAAGAAAGTAGACGGTGAAACGGGTATGCTACTAGGGAGTAAACCATACCCTATTCTGAATGAGAACTCTTTGCTAACTGTACATGGAATGAATACTGATGGATGGGTCTATAGAATAGTTGACTATCGTGTATTTCAAGGTTAGACAGTGGGAAGATCAGGAAACTGGAAGATAAGAAAGATAAAGGTCGGCGCACATCATCCGAAGTGTCAATGTGACTAGCTTGGGGCTGATTTCCGGCAACTACCGTGGCCGCCCGCCTTTATCCTGCTGCCAGTCCTCGTCTGCACTTCATTAATGCTTCATTCTGAAGCTCTTTCACACATCATTGAGAACGTTGTTAGCATACATTGAAGCATTCACAATGGCAGCAATTGTCTATCTCTTCGTCAATTACATCAAGCAGCCAATTGCATAGAAATCACCGACTGCATGAGCCTCGCATGTCCAATTTATTACTCAAGTCGAACAGATCGGCAGTATCGGCCTGGTTCAATATTTAACAGCATAGACTCGGAACGTGTTGGTAATGTGCTATCTGTGCCAGCCAATTGCAAAGCATCGGCACCTTCGAGTCAGAATATAGAACCAGTGGTTTTTAACAGTCAGCAGATTATAACGTTAGCCCTTTTTCCTAGTGTATAATAATGTACTTTGACAGCCCATTCGAACGTAGCGTTTGATGTCGCACTCACCTGCTGAAACGATAGTAGGGCAGCCTCCTGTCGCTCCAGCCAAGCACGACAGCACGGCATTGGAAAACGTCGTCTATACCACGGATTTTGGCTTTCTTCCCATTCCGAAGAGGCTTCGCTACGATCCTGAGAAACCCTTTCAGTTTGGCCTACTTCTAAATGCCTCTTTCGGTTTTGCTAGCACGTTCAGTGAGTCTGCAAGAAACTTTATCGTGTATACAATCAATGAAACGATAATTATGTTTAGTCGTTGCCAACTTGTACTATTGTCAACCATTGCTAAGTGCGTGCCATTTCAATCTTGAAACGATCACTCCTCATGTAAAAAAACTGTAGTTGAATTTTCGAAATCTTTTAACGTGACGTACGATGAGGTTTCTCGGTATGTCTATCTCGTCAAAAGGCCCCGAAGTAAATCACTAACTTTTTGTCAAAGGATTCCAACGCTGGTGCAAGCAGGGTAAGCACTGCAGTAAGGTTTCATGATATACAATCGCATTACATATCTTTTTGTTTAGTTATGCAATCGGATTGCTACTGATATCTCCATTGGGTGACTTAGTTCGTCGACGACAGCTAGTTCTATCCCTAGTGCTAGTCTCAACGTGCCTAACGATTGGACTGACCATCACGAGCAACTTACGAGTCTTTGAGGCCTTATGTTTGCTCATAGGAATTGTTACAGTTACGCCTCAAATTCTTATGCCCTTGGCAGCAGATCTTGCTCCGCCTGAACGCCGTGCATCTGCCATATCAGTTGTATTATCAGGCCTCATGCTGGGTGTGCTCATAGCTCGAGTGCTTGCTGGAGTTATTGGGAATTTCAACAGCTGGAGGATCGTATATTATATGGCAATAGGTGTTCAGTGCCTTGTGCTCGTTGGTTCATATTTTATCCTCCCGGACTACCCTCCCAAAAACCGAGATTTGACATACTTTAAAATCCTCTATTCCATGGCAAAATATGCTGTTACAGAACCACTTGTTATACAGGCGGCGCTCATAAACATAGCTTCCAGTGCTACTTTCACGAGCTTCTGGGTAACTTTGACTTTTCTGCTTGGTGGGCCACCATATCATTACTCCACGTTTGTATTCTTACTTTTGCATCTACATTTTGTCACTGAAATGCACCTTGTTTCCTCATCTAGTCTGGTGATTGGACTGTTTGGACTCGTTGGAATGCTGGGAGTATTCGTGGGGCCGCTTTCTGGACGTTTGATCGATCGTCTCGTGCCGTGGTATGCCACTTTAGTTGCCACTTTCATGCTCGTGGTATTCCAGGGGGTACAGACTGCAGCTGGCGGAATCAACGTTGCCGCGGTTATTCTAGCGTGTTTTGGTTTGGACGTTTTTAGGCAAATGCAGCAAGTTTCTTTGGCGACATCAGTGTTCAGGTACTTACCAAGTGTTCACTAACGATAGGGGAAAAGTCTGAACCAGAACTTTGTGTATACAGCATCTCATCGGCTGCACGTGCTCGTCTTAACGCTATTTTGATTCTATCGGTAGCTAGTCACACTTATTCGTTATGTTTTAGTTTACTCACCCTTCTGCCAGCTTTTCATTGGTCAAGTGATTGGGACGTCTGTTGGGACGCAAGTTTTCACTAAATATGGTTGGCGAGCGGCATCCGGCCTATCGATGGCATTGTTTGGATGGCAGTTTTTCATCTTGTTGTTACGAGGACCGCATTGTTCACGAAAGCGATGGTTTGGTTACGAAGGTGGTCTTGAAGCTAGAAAGGATGTGATAGCGCAAAGAGAAGCAAAACGTGACATAGAGTTAAATGACCCCGAAAAGAATCGAGAGAAATCCACTGCACCTCTGGCAATATCCCACGAGGATGGGAAGGTGGGTGAAAAACTGACACATGGAGCGGGGACCGAGACGGAAAAGAAGGATGACGCACAGACAGAAAAGACAGACCCATCTACGAACGTTTAGATTAAATGATATCACGATATCTTAGGAGTATAAAAGAATAGACTTGAGACTTGACATAATTGTGAACATGTGCCTGAAAGCGAATGTGAAAGTGTAGTTGTCAGTGAATGATACTGTTGTAGCACGATGAGCTCACCAGTGATAAATACGGTAAGTATCAATGTCCGCATGACAAGGCGACTGTTACTCGAATTATACCAGCTCCACACACTTTCATAACACTGCATATGACGTCTGTAACGCCAGCGATTAGCAATCAGTAATATTTATATAATGATGAATAAGTAGCTTATACATAAAACAACAGAGTGAGCTGGTGCCCGTAACCCCATGTCACTTTTCCGTAAATCACGACCTCCAGCACCAACCATAACACAAGAGGCGACAGCAGATCAAACACCAACCCTTCAGAGACCTGGCGTAGGCGAGGACGACCTATCCTATCGATTGCTTGTACGCTGATAAATTAAGTGATCGAATAGCAAGCTTTCAGGACAATGTCACTCAGCCAAAGGTATCCTCGTGGAAGTGGCGAGGCCTCACATTTTCCAGACATCCGCATAACCAGCATTTCTGATCTTTCCCCGATCCATTAAATTTTCATCTGAAACAGGTGGGTGAATTGATAGGTGAAACTTTATAGAGAAATACGGCCGCGAAGTGATCAACGTTGGCGACGAGAAGCTGAGAGCTGCACTAGCACAAGCCCAGAACTGCACTGAAGGAGGTTTGAATCGTGCTGAAGGCAAGGCATATAGTATTCTCGACGTGTAATTGTGATAGAGAGCTGCAAGCGCGAGGTAAGTGACTAAAATCCTGAAATTAGATAACAATGTAATATAACGGCGCAGGTACCGTTCGACACGATGCAATGAAAGGCCAGGAGAAGAATAGATACATAAAATTTTCACTTACTAAACGTCATGGAATAGCCCTAAGAGCGCTCCTTTCACTCGTACATATCATTGCGCAGCGGTGTCCAGAGAAGTATTGACCCCATGCTTGTATAGTGCGGTTTTTGTAAACAACGCCATTGGTGCGATAACGGATCTTGGTGTGCACAAAACAATATATTCCAACTTAGTTTTCATAAATTCAAGCGGTAAAAGAGTAGCTTACCGCTATGTGAGGGTTCGGTGTCAGCGATAACTCAAAACCACCACTCGAAAGGCCACTCGCAGCGCAGTCACAGCGGGTCTTAGAACGAATAACAAAGAGCTCTTCTTTTGGTCCGGAGATTTAAGATAAGCTGAGGCGTAAATCATATTTTGTACTTCTCTCCAGAGGAAACAAGTTTAAAACAGAGGACGCGTATACGCTAGAGTGAGGGCTACTAAGTCATATGAACGTGTTCAACTTGAAGACTAAATCCAGATAGGCTGCGCCACTGTCCTGTCAATATTTACACATTTCCAGCCGATGCGACACGAGGCACTTTCCAATAATCATTGAAGACAAAAAGGTGACCAGTTTCGACCTGATGCGGGCTAGTCTAGGAACTGCGTTAGAAAAGACCTACTTCCATAAACTGTTCTGCTAGTACCTTGAATATTATAATGACACTAGGAATCGGAAGATCTTTAGGCGGGAGTGATGCTAGTATACGATTTCGCTAATTTGTCACATGACAAAGTCAAACCGTCGATTTGTTATTCGTGCGCTTGTGTTCTGGAAATTCTTAACGGCATGACGATAAAAGTTCAGTAATAGATGCCTTCGTCTTCATGTGAGCTAGACTTACGAGGCAATTCCTATCTTGATAAATCAGAAAGATATTAGAAAGAGCCTGGCGCTGGCGGCTGATTTATCCAATGAAAAGCATGAGCTAAGGAGCCTTGACTTCAATTGGAAAGGTCATTGTCTTTTTCAATTGCTACTATGATAGAACTTAAGACTTTTGGTCCTCTGGATTTCCACTGGCAGTAAGAATCAGCGTTCTCCGAAAGAACAACAGCCAAGAACGTGGGGAGTTTTCGTAACAGGTGTTAGCCAGCTGTTTTGATAGCCGCCACGAATCCATAAAGTCTTCTCGTTTTCGCGAATGTTAAGCCCCGTGGACAGTCGACACTCCTATCAGACCTGACGATCTTGATGCAGCTTATAAGGTTCGAAGTCGCGGTGCAAGTTGGCCGAGTCCGACGTCCAGAAATAGTTCCAAAGGAGTCACCGCGGGCCGCGGTGCTTTGCACATGTTCAAAGATACGCTCAGGGCCGTCATTCGCTGAGGACACTGGTTATTGGAGCTTGTATAGAACGGTATGTCAAGATGCGGCGGCGTCGGGTTCAGGAGAAGATCGCTGTATAGTCGTTGCGTTTCGGGTACTTCCAAGTAGCCTCCAGTAACCGATATAACTCGAGGCTCATAAAATTTACCTGCATTTGCGTTGACTTTTACGTTATGTCGAGAACGTTTTGAAGAGTAAAGACAGGAGAATCTGCCACCCACGGAGATAAAAATGACCTGGCAGTGTGGTATTGAACAATAGAGATAGTTAGAGCCCTATCAGATATTCATCAGCTTGGGAATGAGCCGAAAATGACACTAACCTCAGTTTTCTCGGTTAAAACTAAACAGGATGAGAAGAACGATGATACCTTTTGGGTAGATTGGTAAGCTTTAGCGCCCATCGAAAAGCGGTCAGAGTGGCTGGAGCAACTATTATAGTACCACACTTTCTTTCAATTGTTAACTTCAACTATATCCACAAGCAAAACCGAGGTCATTCAATTCTGTCGGCCCAAGCTTTCATCTAACTTTGTTTTCCCAGTCTTTCGCATAATTTCACCAGAAAATAATGAGCAATCAGGAGACTCGGAGTGCAAACAACTACCAGGAAATTGGTCCGTCAATATGAGTTACTATGGTGTCAAAATTCATAATGGTACCTAATGACCTGACTCACTAGCGCCACACTTGTCGCTGCGTATCGCGAAGGTTCCAGTAGAGGACACACTAGAGCTACGCCACGCAGTTCTCTGGCCAAACGAACCACTATCTTACGTTCGTCTTCCTGAGGATGACGCCGGTCATCATTACGGCGCATTCTTGCCTGCGATTGACAAACCTGTCGCAGTTATCTCACTATTCAAAGAATCCATGCCTACCAGTGTGGCCATTGAGTCCGCAGCTGCGAGTGAGGGTGACACACCCTCTGAATCTGCAGCCCGTTTTCGCAAGTTTGCCTGCGATCCTTTGTATCAATGCCAAGGAATTGGGACAAGTTTATTACAACATGTCTTCAAAGCTGCTAGTTCAGAACTAGCAGTCAACGTGATATGGTGCGATGCGCGTCTCTCCACTTCGAGCTGGTATGGCAAACGCGGAATGATTCCGTTTGGGGAACCTTTCTATAAGGGCTCTGTGGAGTACATTCGTATGAGAACGGATCTCCGGAACGCCTAAGGTGGTTAGTCTGTCTGAGGGGAGGTGTGGCAAGCTAACGGCGGCCTTTACATGCGGCGTCGACGCTTTCGTTGCTATCGTCATCTTCACGATTCTCTTTATAGAGTAAGTCACGGCTATGTCTCTTCGGTTGAGCTTTGTACTGACAAAATTGTAGACCCTCAGTTCCATGATTATGAATATGGTCCCCCTCCTTAGATGTTTCACCATGATTCTTGAAAAAGATGACGATGATCGGTCGTATCGCTCAGCGTCAAAAAAACAGACATCGCTCTCGTGCCTCTCATTTGTTGCATATTTACATTCACTATATTCTTCAGCTTCACTTATGAAGCACCCTCGCTTGTCAGCGATTGTTCTTTTTGCTACCGCCAGATACTTGCGACGCATTCCCGGTGACCGGTCCGAAGATTCTGAGCTGTCTGCTTCCCTCTACGCGCTGCCTCGCTCGTCACCGGACACTTCCACTGCTTTCAGCTTCCGTAGATTCGTATCTGTGGCCCCGTCGATTTTGGCCAAAGCATAACCCTACGTGGTTTTGAAGTTGATGCGAGTCCTATTCTCTTGTTTCTTCATCCAGGAATCGGTGTCATGGCCGCTGTCATATGTCTCCGGGTGTGATTATTGCCTTCGTGGCTATTCTCGCAATTTTCCGCTTGCAAATTGATAGGCCTAGCGAAAAGTTCTGTCAGAAAAGCTGAGCAATTGCTGCTGGGAGCTTCCGCCGATTTTCACCACACTGTCACATCTGCTTGAGGAGCACAGCGTAAAACTTTTTGACATCCAGGGACCCGTTGATATCACTGATCCGATAGCGAACATGAAATGAATTCCCCTATGACGCTTTCACCGTTTTTCGGGAGGGAGATCTGGAGCTTTAAACGAGAAATGAAAATGTTTCTTCTACTTCAAGTTCACCATGTGGTGGCAGCGTCTTCTCTTGCTGCTGTGTTCTCCGGTTCCCTAAAAAGGAACTGGGTGTAAAACTGATCACATCGCAGTAATCTCTGGGGGCCTCTAGAAAAGTTGGGTTAGAATCACAAGACACGAGTTCCTTTCATATCTCGGCGAGGGAAGCACGGGGTATACACGACCGCAAATAGGCTGACACGACGTCGGCTACTTTCTCTTGATCCGTCTTGAGGGGGAACATGGCCCACCTCTGTTACATATGTGTCCACCCCTCGGATTTTGGAATCACAATAGCAAAAATCCCCCCCCCCCCCCCCTTTTTTTAGCGGCAATTCGCTCCGATATGCTAGTATCACTCCCAATCTTGGCCGTGCTACAGCCAATTTCTCGGACGCGGCAATAGTTTCAGCTGGCGGTTAGAACTCCTTGATGATGATGAAATTTACCATCGCACTAGTTGCTTTGTTTTCCTTTTCTGTGGAACCGGCATGATATCTCAATCAATCTGAAAATCTGGAAAGGGTCAGCAGCCTGTCAGCTGATACGTGGATGGTGTAAAGGTAAATTGTTTTATGACGACGCGCGTTGGGGTTTTTGAGGAATACCTGTGCTACAATATGTATCGTAGATCTCTAGACAGATTTGGACGATAAGTAACTGCCCTATGTTTGCGTTACCGTAGCAGTATAAAAGAGTACAATGCAATGACTGGACTGGACTCATCAACCCATGTACCCGAGTTCCCCCCCTAGTACTCTCTTTATTCTTCCTCTCAGTCGTCGAGCTTGCTCCACGGCGAATCGTCAATCCGCTGGTTCGAGACACTTGCTAGACAGTTTGCTTCGCCGCTCCACCACTACTTTTTACTATGAATCCAAATTTTCCTTGTGTCAATTTCTCTTGAACTTTGGCACCATGAATTTGGTTCATAGCCTAAATAGTAGGGTGGAGCGCTGTTGCTCACCTTTCAGCAGATGTGCCACTGCGGGCGGTCAAAGAAGACTGTTGCTATATTTTTTCGAGTTCTTAAGGAACTGTGTAGCCATAGCATAGGTTCTGTATCCTTTACCCACTAGCATGCATACGGGCCCGAAATTTCCCCTCGAGGAAACACGTAGCTATATTCACTCATATCCGTCGTATCTGTCCAATGCTCATAGTTCACTCATATCATACTACTACTACCCACAAGCCTCGTTGAGAATATCATAGTCAGTCCCCTCGTTGTTTAAACTTTAATGGTTTTAACTTTTATTGATGCCTCAATAGCCCCGCAAAGTACCTGATCCGGATATGCATGTGTAAGAAAAGGTGTGAATAAGTCATGGTGTGAGATTACTTGTAATACAATAGGACCTCGTTACATTCATTTGATCAGAGGGGACGTGTTTACGGGCCAACCAATTGATAACTTGTCAAGGATGTGTCAAGCAACACACTTATATGCGTGTCAGTAGCGTTATCGGCTGCCCTGCGCCCCCTTTTCTCACATGTGGTTGAAATGCTATGATCATCGGGTAGATTACATAAATATCTGTTTCACACTCACATCGCCCACTTGTGGCAGTCTATCGTATGAACAAGTCTAGCACACAGACCGTGATGGCTGCCTGTAAGTTACGAGTTCATAAACAGCGTTATGGGCTCATAGCGCTTCGCCATCAGGAAAGACGTTGGAACCATGTGCGGATAACATTCATGATTGGTGGATACAGAGTCGTTCATTGGAACGCCGTGATGCGGCAAGGATTCATTCCGTATGAGCAGCTCTGTAACATTGAGTTCAGTGCTTTGTCTTTGACAAAGTATTAACTCCTGAGGCTAGTGCGTAGTGGATCTCCGTCTCAACCGAAAATGATAAGTCACCACTTCAGACACGAGGATCGTCTACATAACGCAGTCAATTCGCTAGACAATTTCAAAAAATAGAAACACGCTGAAGGGTATGCAACTTCGTGATTAACTGCTATTTTAATAGTTCCTCTACGACTCTATCTTCTGAGATGTTGGCGACGTTGGCTCCCCTGTAGTTCAACCGCCGGAGGACATCAATCTGGTCGGAAAGCTCAGCTCATAGCTGACATTGACGATGGAAGAGGTAGACATACGACTTTGCCTCGTTCGAAACCGATAGCTTCGAACTGATCTACATGCGCTTTCTCTAGCCCAGCGATAGCCACATCATCCCTGACTGCTTCGGGACTCTTGCCACTCTTGGCTATCCCACCAGGTCCACCAGCATATATTTGGGTCCAATATCTCGCTGTTTCTTCAAAACTACGTTTGCTAGTCGTGAAATGCTTGGCTACTTCTGCATCTTGAGGGTCGTTTGGTTCAGGAGAACATAGGAGGGATTGGAGGGAGATTAGGGTGGATTTCAACGTGAGTACGGGAGACCAGGCGTCCTTCAGAATATCGAGACAGATGGCACCAGATGCTGATGAGACATTGGGATGATACACTTTGGTGATGAATTTCATCTTCACTGGCTGGAATGGGTACGACTCGGGGATCACGATATCCTTTTACCACAAAATAAGTTCTGTGTGATTCCCAGTTAGGAAGTTTATGAGACTGACGACTTCAAAATGCCCTCCCTCGTAAGGCGTATCCTGTGGTCCTGGGAACGACCCTTTTAGATGGAATGGCGATTCATCGATAAGGTCGATTTTAATATTTGAAGATTTATCGTTCTTGCAGTCTTGGCCGCCACATGAGTCAGAGAACGAGGATATTGGCATAATGCAAACATACCAGTGATTTCTTTGTTTACACGACGAAGACGGGCGTCCATGATACACGATAGGCACTAGTGATACAGACAGACAGAAATGAAAAGGTTGATGACGGGCTGGCTTGAGCTAAAGACAAGGATATAGGTTCAAGGAATCAATCAATGTGTGTGATTATCTAAGCATCCAGTCATGTGATATAGCATGGCCCTGGACCGGACAACGGACAAGCTGGTTTGGATGACTCGGAGCCTTCCGGCTGGAGGGTTCTCACGAGGTTTCACAGATGTAGAGGGATCCCTACAGGTTGTCTGAGGGTCTGACAGAGGTTTGACAGAGCACATAAAATGTATGCATTATATGGAAATAATGCTGTACATATTTCCCTAGAAAGCCTCTGGAATGAAGAAATCCTTTACAGACTCCAGAGGGCACAACGGGAGGGTTTGCAGAGGGTTGTTCAAGTGCCAAAAAGTATGGCTGTATATATATACTTGGGTGGGAAACCTCGGCAATGAGGGAATTAATGAGTCTGAATGTCAATAGATGTGAGAGATTATTGCAGGTCAAGAACAAGGTTAGACTCAGAGGGTTTCTGATATGGAGTAGAACAGGTTCAAGTTATTTAAGTAATAAAAAGCTAAAGAATCATACATATATAGATATGTAGGGTCTTTTATAGCTAATTGTCTATCTTCCCAGGCTGGAGGGGGAATGAAGAAAAGTGGTCTGAGGATGTGACTAACCAATAAGAAAAGAATAACTATCATACAACTTTGAGGATTAACCAGCTAGTATATCAGAACCGCGGATAGCCTACACATGGCATGCTGTTCAAACACTCACATTCCCACACTGTAATTGGTATACAGACTAAAGCCAGATATTATTCACAGCCCGCTGGAATTAATTCATATGATTCAGACAAACCAAATTATATACTTTGGCTTATTACACACCATATGAATGCTACCTGATATGGGCTGTGAAAACTGTATCCAAAAGTAATAATATAGTTGCACAAAACTGTACTTAGATAAATAGTTTACTAGAACTATACTGTAATATAACAATTTGGTTTTTCAAGACTATACCATGGGAACAGGGTATTGAAGCCATATCACAGTGATATGGATATATACAACTATACTTTGATAAGTGGTGTGGCAAAACCATACTGTAATACACTGCTATAGTTGTATAAGACTGTATCTGGGTAAACAGTGTATCAGAATCATACTACAGTATTGTAATATGGTGTATGGGATTGTACTGTCAGGCAACAAATACGAAGCTATATAACAAAGCTCAATGCCTGGTCAAGTCCTTGCTGGAAGGTGGTGAATCAGGGTATGAGGATGAAGAGTATTGGTATAAGCGCAAATCCAAACTAATATTGAACTAGAGAACAGTACATCGAGTATGTACTTCGTTATATAGTGAACGGTGATGGTCAGACCGAGAAAGGGAAGAACTAAGGAAGTGGTCTGACCAGTCAGCTAACCAATAAGAAAAAAAGGAGAAAGTGGTCTGATCTATCGTATTTACTAATCGTATGAGAAAACGTATTGGTAAGGGATGTGCGATTGGCTGTATCAGTAAGCCCATGAGAAGGCGCTGACTCATAACCTTCTTCGCTTATCCATATTCCTCCAAAGTATTCCCAGACATAGCGCTGGATCGTGGCTATGTCATCTGGATATCTTCTCGAGGGTCTACAACAAGTCTCCTTTGTTGTAGGTACGATAGGACGTGAGTGTGAATAGAGAATAAGAAGAAAAAGGATAAAAGTAATAAAACACCTGCTGTAATCTCTAGTCCAAGGGCAAGAGGAGTGACAGGGATTGAGTCTGCTAACCACGACATGATGGGAATGCAATGAGAAAAATTGATTCCTCACATCAGCTCTCCTTTTATAAGACTTGTGTCCTCATAAGTCCGGAAGTGGCACTTTGGAACTGATTGGTAATCCAATCAAAAAGCATTGGAGATTTAGAAATTGCAGTGTAATTCTCATAGGGACAGAAATGAAGTGAAGCAGTGATGATGCAAGGGGCAGCAGAATGCGTTTTATGGCGAGCAAATTGGAGACATGTGTAAGTTGGTGTCAGGTTCCCAAGTTTGCTCTGAGACTGGATAACCATGCCAGTGGACCAAGTAGTCGAGTTTAGTGGTTCATAGTTTGGTAGGTCTGGATGCAACTATACTTTCTACTTCGTATCTGTCTACTCCTTCAGCAATTTCAGGTGGTGGCCTTGAGGAGATAGGTTGATTAGAGAATTTGGGAGTATGGTATGGCAATAGGATGGCTTCATTGAACACTGGGTGAATGAATTTCCAACTTTTTGGGATGTCAAGTCGGTAGGTGGAAGATCCAACTTCTTGGATGATTTTAAAAGGACCAAAATGCTTGTTGCCCAGTTTCTTCATTGGTCTGTCTGTTGTGATGTTGTGTCCTTCCAACCAGACTTTGTTGCCAGTTTGATATTCTTGGGGTGGGGATCTCTTACAGTCATAGTAATGTCTGAGATTGTCGTTTGCTAAAAGAAGGGAGGATTTTGTGAGGTCATGGAGCTGTTTCATTTGTTCACCAAACTCGGTGGCGAAGACAGATAGAGGGGATGATGTAATGGTAGTATTTGTTTGTGGGTGCTGTTACGATAACACATTTTCGGACCTTTAATTTTCATTCTCCTCTATAACCTTTTACCGTAGTTTTCACACTCCGTGCCATGCAGCACTTTCCCTTTTGTTCAAACTCCCCTTTCTCGCGCGGCGCTGCCCTTCCTTCTATTTTAGATACAAGTCTCTCACGCAGTGGAGCTGGTCACATGGGCTGCGCCCTCTGACATCATCAGCCCCTGCTTTTATCAACTGTACAGTACATAAGTACAAACACTCTGTATTAGTATATATACCTCAATAGATCCAGGAGACTCCTCGGTGAGTCCTCCTGTTGTTTACCCACAACTAAGTCGGTCCTACCTAAGGGGTAACCACTCCCTCCTCACTACCTTTATAGTTTGTTCTAGTTGTGCGCCAGAGTAACTAACTCTTGGTTGTTACAGGTGCAGACCATAGTTTAAAAAGAAAGGTGTTTGATTTGTTGCAGTATGGAGATGATCATTGTATGTGAATTCAGCGATGGAGAGCCAATCTGCCCAGTTGTCCTGTCTGTGATTTATGAAGACACAAAGGTAGTGCTCCAGATCCTGGTTGATCCATTCAGACTGTCCATCCGTCAGAGGGTGATAACCTGTAGAAAGGCCTGGCATTATTCCCATCAATTCATAGAAGTCTTTAGTAAATCACGGCATAAACTGAGGGCCTCAATCAGAGATGATTTTTTCAGGAATTCCATGGAGTTGTATTACATTGTCTCTGAGCTGATGTGCGTAACCGGCGGAGTCAAGGGTGACAAAAGTCTTGCTAAATCAGTCTACAAAGACCTGAATGGTGGTTTATCCCTTAGATTCCAGGAGCGCACCTATGAGGTCAGTGGTGATAACTTGCCAGGGCCAATCGGGTATTGGATTCAGATGTAGAGGGGCCTTAGACTTTGTCCAATGTGCCTTGGTTTGTTGACAAGTCTCGCATCCTCATACATTTCGTCTGATATCTGTGCAATGACTCGGCCACCAGAGTTCTTGGTTTACTCATTCAAACATTGTCCTTTCTCCTGGGTGTCCCACAAGAGCTTTGTTGTGATGATCTTTCAATATTTGTGCATGTTGTCATGCACCAAAGTTGATTGGTAGCATAGACAGGTGTCAATAACGAAGCGAATATTCAAAAAGACTCGCCTTTGCGCCACACAGGCACAGTGCCACGTGGAATAGTAATTAATATTGCCTTTTCCGAACTTGTGGCTAATCAGCACCACCTCTATTAGGCAATCTAGTCACGCTCACCTTTGCTTTTCCATTCAGTACTTTCCGCGTTTCTTGCAAATGCTCCAGGGGAAGATATTGTGCAACACGAGATGCATATTGAAGGGCGTTGTCATGCACCAAAGTTGATTGGTAGCATGGACAGGTGTCAATAACGGAGCAAATATTCAAAAAAGACTTGCCTTTGCGCCACACAGGCACAGTGCCACGTGGAATAGTAATTAATATTGCCTTTTTCAAACTTGTGGCTAATCAGCACCACCTCTATTAGGCAATCCAGTCACGTTCACCTTTGCTTTTCCATCCGGTACTTTCCGCGTTTTGGCATTTCGGCAAATTTTCGCGTCGCCACTGGCTACACATTGCATTGCGCCCTCGCTTTTGTCGTTTCCTTTACTCCCCTTCCTTTGCCTAGCCCCACCATGGGCCCCTTCCTCTCCTTTTTATTCTCACCTGACGGTCGTTTCTGGATCCCCATTCTAATCCACTTTTCCGTCACCTCTACCCTCCTCCTCCTCATCTTATTTGCACCCCCACCATTTCTAATGTCACCACTTCCTATCCGCTTCCGTCGCCAATCCGTTGACTACCACGTGCCACTGCTGATATCAGCAAAGCCCCGGCGGCCGGTCCAAATAGGGCAACAGGTCCATCTTCATGACGTCAATCTGCCATCATATACTATCAAAACATCGGTCACTCGTCTTGCCTGGTTGGAGCGTGGGTGGGTAGTTTTTGAGCTGGAGAAGGTTCATCCCCTTGCGTTGCCTATGTACATTGCTGTCCCATTCACTTGGGTACACTTATCTTTTGTCCATCGTCTTCGCTACAGCTACACCTACCACATGCTGCCTGGGACTCACTTGTTCCAAATTGGAACTACTTCCCTCCCTCCCTCGTTTGACCAGGTGGTCCAGTACAACCAGTCCATTGGTAAGGCCATGGAACTGTCGGATTTGGACTAGGTGGTGGACCGGTGGCTCCAGTTTCTTTTTTTTCAGCAGAACATTTATTTACAGTGCGATTATTTTTGATTTTTGAATCATTTTTATGGACACATATTTTATAGAATGCCTGACTGACAATAAAGGAACTGTGTTGATACTGATAGTGTTTTGCCTTGCCCTTTTTTTACTGCATCTTCCCATGACATCATGATTTTCCTGCTCTCTTTTTGCTATTGGACTTTACTTTATGGCTGTACAAACCTGTGACATTACTCACAGCATTCATTGTTCTAT